ACCCTTTGGTTTGCAGGATGGTGCTCAATGTACTGAGCCACATCAGTCAGGGCTTTACGTAAATTTTAATTTTCTAACTTTTTATTATGAAATTTCCAAATATACAAAAAGTTCAAAAAACAATACAATGAACATCTATAAATCCACTTCTTAGATGTTAATAATGTTAACCCATTATTAACATTTTGTCATATTAGCTTTATTGATTTATCAATCTATATTTTAGTTTTTATTATTGTGGTTGAGCTGTTTCAAAGTATTACACATTTTGACATTTCATGCCAAAATACTATATATATATACATCTAAAAATAAATAAATAAAATGGTATTATTGCCATAACAAAATAAAAATAGCTCCTTAATTTCATCTCATACCCATTCTACACTTAAATTTACCCATGCCTTCAACATGTTCTATGAGCACAGTACAGTGATTATTTAAAAGAAGTAATACATTATGACCCTTCATTACTTGTTACCTCTCCTAAGCATGAGAGAACATGGAGACATCCCATCGAAGCTCTATTACCTTTGAGGATGTGAAATGGCACAACCACCTGGGGGACAAAAGTGTTTTCCTTAACATACTTACCATATCACCCAGTAATTTCACTCCTAGCTATCTGTCTCAGAGAAATGAAAGCTTATATTCACAAAAGAGTTCTACAAGAATGTTCATAGTAGCTTTATACACAAGAGCCACAAATTAGAAATAGCCCGGATGTTCATCAATAACAGAATGGATATACAAACTGTGTTACATTCATATAATCAAACATAACTTGGTAATAAGGAGATTTCTGAAATTTCCTGAACTTCAACTTAAAAAATCTGGAATACTTTAAAACAATCTTCAAAATAATATTGATTTTCTGTATTAAAATACATAATGACTTTTTGCACAGAAATAACTAAGGTAAAAGGTTTGATAGCTTCCTATTTAAATTATATCCATCTGTCACAATATGTTCAGATGGGCATTTGAAGATAAATTATTTCCTCAACATCCCAGAGAACTAGGGGAAGAGCACAGAAAATATGAGCAAAACATGCAGAATCATTTATTTATTCATATTAAACCACCATACTTGAAAAATACATTGATGTTTTACATAGTATTTCACCCCTTAGAATGAGTTCTTCCAGAAAACTTCTCAGTTCCTTCTACAAACAGACATAGATCTAACCTCTCCTGTCTTTAGATATGTCTCAGTTCTAGGAGTTATCAACATTTCTGTTCTTAAGCTGAAATTGAAATTGTACATGAAATTAAAATAGTAAATGAATTCATTTGTCAATTCATTCAATAAATATTTGCTATGCGCCAGCTACTAGGCTGGGTGCTGGAGTCCAGACAGTCTCTGAATATATAGAAAAGGGTCTTACTTTAGTGGGGAGTGAAGGAAGGTGTCTGTAGACATGGCACTTCAGCTGAGACTGAAAGAATGAGAAGAAGCCACTCAAGCCAAGAGCTGGGGAAACAGCATTCCAGACAGAGAGAACAGCGACTGAACGCATTAAATGCAGACCACAGGTGATACAGGATCCAGAGAAAAGGGCAATCAATCCCTCATGCCTGGGATTGGAAATTTGGAATTGCCTACTAAGTGGGTAAAACTGGAGAAGCACCTTGGAAAAAAGGATCAGAGTCAAACTAATGAGAGGAAGGGAAAGACATTCCAGGCCAGGAGATGGGAAGAACAAATCCGGGCTACCGTAGCGCTCTTTATCCCTGAAGAACTTGTTCCAAGACCCTCATTGGATGCCTGAAACCACACATAGTACCAAACTCTATACATACTATGTTTTTTCCTGTATGTACATACATACCTATGGTAAGTTTAATTTATAAATTGGGCACAGTAAGAGATTAACTACAGCCCTGACAGGTGTGGTTCATTCAGTTTGGTTGGGCATTGTCCTGTAAAGCAAAGGGTCACCGGTCTGATTTCTGGTCAGGGCACCAAACCCAATCGGGTTTCCGGTTTGGCCTGAGTCAGGGAGCGTATGAGAGGCAACCCAACTGATGTTCTCTCTCACACCAATGTTTCTCTCCCTCTCTTCCCCTTTATCTATAAATAAGTAAACTATTTTGAAAAGCATGCACCTTCAAAAAAAGAGATTAACAACAAAATAATAAAATAGGACAACTATTAGCAATATACTGTGATAAAAATCACGTAAGTGTGATCTGTCTCTTAAAGTAGCTTATTAACTGTGCTCACCTTTTCACTTAACCAAAGTACTTTTCATCTTCTCTGTTGGCACATCCAAATCACCAGCATCACTACTCTTGTGCTTTGGGGCCACTGCCAAGTGAGGCAAGACTTGGACACAAGCACTGTGATACCATGACAATCAATCTGATAACGTAGATGACCACTAAGTGACTAAGGGGTGGGGAGGGAATACAGCGCGGACAACCTGGGCAAATAATGGTTCACATCCCTAAAGAGATGGGGGAAACAATGAGAGATTTCATTACACTCAGAACAGCATGCAACTTCAAACTCATGAATTATTTATTAAATTGCTTATTTCTGAAATTTTCCATTTAATATTTAAGGACCCAAGTTGACTGTGGGCAACAAACTATGGAAAGTGAAACCATAATTAGGGTACTACTGTATACGGTATGAATAGGTCAGGCAAAGCCTGACAACAGAAAATAATAGGTGCCTTGCTGGTATAGCTCAGTGGAGTGAGTGAGGGCCCGCAAACCAAAGGATCGTGGTTTGATTCTCAGTCAGGGCACATGCCTGGGTTGCAGGCCAGGTCCCAGCAGGGGACTCACGAGAGGCAACCATACATTGATATTTCTCTCCATCTCTCCTTCCCTTCCCCTCTAAAAAATGAAGAAATAAAATCTTTAAAATATATAATAATAGGACTGCTTCATAGTTTTGACCAGCTCTGGGCTTGGCTCCATCTGTTTGGAACTCCGACAGGACATTCACTCTAAGATGGCAAAGAGCCTGGCTGTGAGTACATGACACTCTGTGTCTGCCGCGCACTCAAGCCTTATCACCAGCAAGAAACACTAGTTATCTTGGTTTTGCAGAGGCAAAGAATAATGCTTTCCACCTGGCCTTCTGCTTTGTGAAGAAAACAATTGTCCTCACTTGGGCATCGGTGTATGTGAGTGTCAACTCCATGAGGAAGTAAGTAGTGGAAGGTATAGCTTAATTCTTCCTGCAGTAAAAGCAAGAACCCAGCTCATTATTTCACTGGTAAAATTACCCTTCTTTAGAATTGGTCTTGCCTTCCTTTTTAGCCTCAAAAAACCTCATCTTTCTGGAAACAGAAGGCAGAGCAGCCACTTCTGCAGGCTCTCAGCTCCTCGGCTGAGGCTGCAGGTCAGAACAGCCACCTGTTCTAATCAGAGAAAGAGCTATCTTCCTTCTGGTGGTAACCATGGTTATTTAGCACTATATTCAAACCCAATATTGTTTTTAACAAATGATATTTTGGAAAGAAGATAAAAAGAATTAAATCATGTAGAGAGGCAGAAAGTGAATTTTCCTTAGAAGTTTCAGAATTTATACCACCTTCTTTGGGAGAGTTTAGCTCCAACTGTCATTTATTTTCATAGGTAGAAAAAGACAGACACCTGTCTGAGAAGAAAAAAAAGAACAAATTGCATTAATGTAGCAAATACCCCACCCCCCCACCCCCAACCACTGCCTGCTTTCGTCCTCTCCTCCAAGTGTGTCTTTGCCTGGAAGCTAAGAGAAGGGCATTTGTGGCTAAAAGTTCTCATAGTTTGCAATAAGCCCTATTTATATTCCTTACTGTTTTAAATGCATCAGGTTCCAGTGCATACCAAAGAAATAGCTGCCCCTTTACTATATGAGTAAGAATGGGAAATGCTCAAAACAAGGAGGATTTCTATGTCTTTTTTTTTTTTTTTTTTGCCCTTCTCCATGGAGAGATCAATTCCAGTCTGAGGACCAGTGCATGAGCCACATGCAGTGGGCAGAAGCCATCCCAGACAAAGTAGAAAAGTGGGTGCAGAGCTTCTGCAATTTAAAATGTTCTTGAATCAACAGTCAAGCTTTAGAGAAATGGCTGGAGGTTTTTAAGGCTTTGCCAGTTAGTCTTTTAGAAAACCCAGAGAAACCATCTTAAATTAGACATGTTAAGTTACCATTAAGACAATCTCAGACTTCTTTAAAACACCATCAAATGATCCATTTGTAAAACCTAGAGATTACATAGATAGAAATATTTTGGTCCCTGAAAGTCCCTAAACTAAACCTTACAAATAAAATCTTAGTACTAAATTTTATGGTGACAGAGAACTGCCATAGATGAGCTGATACTGCCTTGAATCTCATAGTGAGTACAAAATATGGCCTTGAGGGTAGACTGAAAAGATTTAGTTCCCCCTAAAGAATACACTCTCAGTTGGTCCCTAACTTCCCTTTTTTCCACGACTGAATGTGAGAGACATTACTGTGGCAGGTTGGTTCATAAGCTCCCAAATACCACAGCCTGGTGCTTCGAACTCCCCCCAAACTGGTTCATCTCCCATTGCCTCCAACCCCAGCCTTCCTGGGCCTTCAGCAGGAGCGAGTGGGCTACCACCACCGCCAGGGAGCCAAATGCATTCTGTGTGATGTCTTTGCTGACTATACGCACACTGCTGACTCAGGCCCTTGAGGAAAGAGTGAGGGATGGACAGAGAAGCATCTCCCTTGGATCAGAGTTGCTATGTCCCAGGGACAAGAGGGTGGGAGGAACAAGGAGTGCTTGAATTTACTTAAGCCATGATCAGCAGAACAGCTGGTAAGACATGGAGGCCAAGAGCACAGACTCTAGAAACAGTCCCTTTCTTATCTGGCAGAGGTCCCCTTTCTGTGCCCTCCGGCTTCAGCCATTACTCAAGGCTTTCAGACTTCCCAGTCCAAATCTGAAGAAAACAGTCAAAGGGATTTTCCCCTCTATTTCAAATTAATGAAAATGAAAAACAAGCAATTAAAAAAACACATTTATTAAACATAAAATTAAATCACAAAATTAAACATAACCTAATGTTAAGTGTAAATTCCCAAACACTGGTGCTTCAAAATGCTTCTTTTCCTGATATTATATCTACCATGTCACCTCCCACCCACCTAAAAAGACTCCTCAGAACCATGGTATGTTTCTTTGCCTAAAAAATTGATAGATATTTTTTTAAAGTGTGAGTTGTGGATGAATTAAGCCCGAGAAAGTTCAATGAAAAATAATGGTTTATTCAAATGAACGATAAAGCTGCTAATCAGCACTTAAAAGCAATGCAAACAGACAAATGCCGTATGATCTCACTTATATGTGGAATCTAGTGAACAAAATAAACTGACGAACAAAATAGAAGCAGAGGCATGGATACATGGAATAGACTGACAAAAAAATTAAAATAAATAAAAGCGATGTGAAGTTACACTTGAACTGCTAGCCTCACTGGAGGACTGAAACTCATTCTGGAAAACTTGTTTGAAAAATGCTGGCATTGGTAAATGCTAAAAAACACTAATTTTAAAAAATCTTTGACTTAACTTCCTTGCTTAAATACTACTAATACTACTGATACATTTTAAGCCAAAGCTATATATATACATTGACAACCTGGATCTGATTAAGCACACGTCCATTCCCCACAGACGACCACTGACCGTTCCCCTCCCAGCTCTCCAGCACAGTCATGGATTACCCACTGCGCATTTAACTCCATCTTCTCACTGCCCTGCAAAATGCTTCTGGCCTGCTGCTCGTGACAGAAAACAAAGTCTGGGGATGATCACCTGTTTCGTATTTCCTCTGTCCTGAATGTGAGGGTGGGAACCGTGAAGATATCTGGGAATGAGTTACAAATGGAGAAATACCAAGTTTGAAGCTGCTGATGCAAGTACATGCTTAGTGTGCCCTAGGAGGAGAAAGTCAACATGGCTGAAGGGAAGAATGACGTTGGTATAAGGGTACAAGGCAACAGGAGTAAATCAGGGCTTTGTGGCCACCAAAGTGAGAATGCTGTATTTTCAACCGGAAATGAGAAAGTAATGGGGAGGGTCAGCAAGAGAAATGAGATTCACATTTATATACTAAAATGTCAACAGCAGTTATCTTTGGGTAGAAAAATTTTGGATTTTTTCCCCCTGCATTTTGCTTTTTCTGTATTTCTTCTTACTTTCATGTTCATTTCTTTCTCTCCTCTCTTTCTCTAGCTCTCTCAGAAGATGAATACCCTGATTAACTAAAGTTAACTGAGATATAAATACGAAGGCATGACTTACAAAAACTCAACAGTACATTTCAACTTGAGGATACAAAACCTAGGACACCACCTGCAATTACGATCCTCGGACTCAATCTCATCAATCCCTGGCCTCAGTCTCTCCTGTCCTAAAGAAGACAAGCCTCCATTTTTCTCGTTTGAAAGAGTTATGGACCAAATCCAGAATTTATGGAGTTAATGGACCAAATCCAGAATTTTCTAAGATTCTTTTTAATCATTAACCATTTATTAAATGCACAACAACTATAAAGAAAAAAAGTGTAACACTTTGTAAGTACAAATAATATATTTTATTTCATCCCTGAAAACAACAACAAAAAACAAAAATGTCCACATCTAGTAAGACTGAACAATTATTCCAAACCTTACCTGGCAATGGTATATAATTAATTTCTTCACATAAAGATAGAGTTCAGGAAAAGTTTGGAAAGCTACCTTTTATAATATAGTATTTTCTCATACTTATTTTAATAAAACATTATAATTATTGCTACTATGTGTGGTAGCATATTATAATAATGAACAATATCTGAAACTAAATTCAATATAATCTAAATCTAGAAGCTAGCTGCACTTAAGCAGTTATTATAGAGAATAAATACTATGAAATATAGGGCACCATATGGCAATTAAATCTGCTACAAGGGAAATTTAAATAAAGGTGTCCTTGGCTTTGTATTAGAATTACGATTAGTATCTCTTGTGCTATATACACCAACTGTTTTCCTAAAAAGATAGTCAATCTTATAATTTAAATTATGTCCTAAATGCTCTTATTTTTAAGTAGCTATTACATAAAACAAACATCTAATGTATCTGTTACACAAATTCAAAATTTCATAAAGCAGGATACTCCTATATAATACAATGTTAACATTTTCCAAGCAGTTTAATGCAGTACAAACACCTTTATGCACCTATACCTCTGGCTAAAGTCCTTAAGAGCCCCAGTTTCACGAATATCTCTATCCCCCTTCCCCTGCGACATAAAGACAAAAATTATCCAAATATGGAAATAATGTGCTTTCCTGACATTGAAAGGGTTAAACTTTTAAATTAACATTCATGTGAAAGGAATCATGAGTATTTATTTTTAATTTCATCATAAAAATATCTTGTATTCTTCAGAATACATGTAAGAAAGTCTTACATATGAGATTAGAGATGACTATTTAAGTGTTATTTAATTGTCCCAATGTTTAGAATAGGTTACAGACAGTGGCTACTACCCATTTCAAGATTATACTCATATAAATGTAATTTTTAAAAATATACAACAATTAACCTCCAGTTACTCTGAAGGATAGTGCAAATGAAGACATTCTTTGGGTCAAGATTTCAAAACATTATTTTCAACATGATACTTCCTTTCTCTGCTCATAATCTGTGTAACAAAATATAGCACTGGAAGTCAGCACGCTTTCTAAGAGCACTAGTCTAACGGTTATATACATTAAGAACAAATAACAGAGTGATTCAATAACAATATTCTTCACTTGTCTGAAAAACATGTTATATATTTAAATAAATATTTTATAGAATGAACTTTCAATGTCTTTCGATGTTTTTATTTCAGCTGGATCTCAAACACAAAGGTTTATACAAAGATCACCCACCTGTACACCACATCAAACATTTTACCAAATTCCCTTTAAGGATATAGTACAGCATGGAAGAGACTTGCCTGAAAGCAAACTAATAATAACTTTTAAAATTTATGTACAGAATTGAATTCCATGAATCCAGCATTTTCCTTGAAGTGTGCAGAGCTTTGACTATAAAGCACTACGCTATCCTAGCCAGCGTTTTCCTGTAAAAGCTTTTCTGCCCTAGGATCCAGTCCGGGGTGGAGGTAGCAGCACCAGGTGATCTTCGACTGCTATCTAATGCTGCCTGACGCGTTCATCCTCTTGTTTGTGGTCACTGGCACCAGATTCCCATTAGTGCCATTAGTAGTGTTGGCTGCCGAGCCGTTCACAACAATATAGTCGACTTTGTTCTCTAGCTTCACCAACCGTTGTAAAATATCATCCAAAAGGACAGCAATTGTTCTTTTTAGATCCGCTAGAGGAAAAGAAAATCAAAAGGAACCATATTAAATGTTAACACAGCACTTAATATTTGTGTTTTCATAGTTTGAGGGGAAAAGTAAACAATGACCGAGTATTCTGAAAGAAAATAAACTAGAGAAAGCACTCATTCCACAAAAAGGCCTAATTGTTTTAATCAACAGCATCACATGTAGAGCTTCTTAAAGAAACTTCAGAGTTATAAAATATATAAACTCTCCCTTTTGTAGTGTAATAAAACAGATTTGAAGTCTGGTGTAAGAGTTAGTACCTTGTAAGGAATCGACTTACCTTGAATTCCTTAAGCAATTTATAAAGATGACCGCAGACTAAGCAGGTAAGGTAACAAGGTAGCTGAGCTAAGTAAAAAATTCAATGAAACGCAGAAACATGAAACCTGGAACCTCCACAGTATGAAACGTAGGGGAACCTAGGAAACAGGGCAGATGCCAGGAACCTGACTAATACAGCAGAGATACCAGCAGTAGTTCTGACTTAAATTTCTTCCAGAAATGATGGGGAAGGCTAGATCTTCTCATCTCTCTGGGAGGTTAAGAGGTTTTGGTAGAACTAATTGGCAAGAATAAAATGATGATGCTTTTCTTCCTTAAGGGTCCTTAATTAAGATCCTTTTCTCCTTTTCTCAGGTTTCCCAAAGGTAGCCAAGTACACATTATGTACTTGACCAGTTGCAACTAGTATTGTTATTTTTTGTTGATCCTGGACCAAAAAAAGCACCGCAAGCCCTAATCTGTGACCAGGGGAAAAATTATCTAGCAACAACTGATGAATTTACTGATGGTACTCTTATTAAGATATTAGAAAAAGCACTAGTGAAAGAAAAAATAAACTGGACTTCATCCAAATTTAAAACTGTGGGACCTCAAAGGACTCTGCAGCAATTGAAAAGACAACCTCTACACGATGCGAAAAAAATCACATACTTGCAGATCACGTATCTGGCAATGGCTTATTACCAACCACATATAAAGAACTCCCAAACTCTACAACAAAAAGATAAACAACCCAACATTTTAAATGAGAAAAAGACTCGAATAGACACCTCTCCTAAGAAGATATGCAAATGAACAATAAGCACAAGAAGCGATGCCCAACACTGAGATACCGTTTCATACCTGCTAGGATGGCTGTAATCAAAGAAAGGGAAAATAAGCAGAACTGGAACATGTTCGTCATTAGTGGGAATATAAAATGGAACAGCCACTGCGGAAAAGTTTGGCAGTTCCTCAAAAAGCTAAACGTAAAATTACCACATGACACAGCAATTCCAATCCCAGGTATCCCCCAAAAACTGAAGGAAGAAATTTAAATAGATACTTGTATAACAGTATTTCTTTCAGAATTATTCACAATAGTCAAAAGGTGGAAACAACGTGAGTGCCCATCAACAGATGAAGAGATCGACAAAATGTGGTATATAGAATATTATTTAGCCATAAGAAAACCGTGTTCTGATACATACTACAACATGGATGAACCTCAAGGACATTATGCCAAGTAAAATAAGCCACACAAAGGACAAATATTGTATGATTCCACTTATATGGACTATCTAGACAAATACTGGGTTTTGCCATGTATAATGCGCTTCCATGCATAACGTACACCCATGTTTTTGGTCCAAACTTTCAGGGGAAAAAAATCCTTTATTTTAATTTTTTAATTCAATTATTTATTTATATTTAGAAACAAAACCAATGATCATATTACAGGGTATTATTTTGCATTTGGATATCTTTATTGCTTTTTAGAGTTACACTTTTTAAAAAAGATTTTATGCATTTATTTTTAAAGAGAGGGGAAAGGAAGGAGAAAGAGAGAGAGAACATCAACGTGTGGTTGCTTCCTGTGCACCCCCTACTGGGACCTGGCCAGTAACCCAGGCATGTGCCCTGACTAGGAATTGAACTGGTGACCCTTTGGTTCACAGGCCAGTGGTCAAACCACTGAACCACACCAGCCAGGGCTAGAGTTAACACTTTTAACATTTTTATAGATACAGAATCAGTACAACTCATGTATAATGTGCATCCTTATTTTCCCTAACGGTCAAAAAAGTGCACATTATACACAACAAAATAGGGCACATAGAGAGAAAGTAGAGCAGAGGTTACCAAGGGCCAGGGGAAGGGAAATGGCGAGTTATTGCTTAATGGTCATAGTTTTTTGTTTGAAGTGATGCGCGTTTTCAAAACTTAGTAGTGATGGTTGTAGTATGAACATAATTAATGACACTAAATTGTACACTTAAAAATGGCTAACACAGCAAATTTCATGTTATATATATTTGTACCAAAATGTGAATGTGTTATATATGTCCTATCAAAAGGGTTTTTTTTTTAAAGCCAGAGAAAGGGATAGAGACAGTTGTAGTGGTGGGTGGGGGTAAAAAGTGATTAGAAAGTACTTATTAAAAACTAAAACAAAAAGCCCTAACTGGTGTAGCTCAGCTGGTTGCTCACTGCCCCACAAAGCAAAAAGTTGTTGGTTCAATTCCTGCTCAGGGCACATACCTGGGTGACAAGCCCCAACCCGGGTCAGGGCATGCGTGAGAGGGGCAACCCATCAATGTTGCACTCACACACTGATGTTTCTCTCCTTCTCTTTCTCCCTCCCTTCTCCTCTCTCTAAGAATAAATAAATAAAATCTTTTAAAAATACAAATAAAATAAAAAATAAAACAAACAATATTTAAAAAATACAAATAAAACAAACAATATAAATAAAGTGGGGGGGCTTCATTTGGAAAAAGTCTAGCCACAGAAGAATGAGACTTTCCAAGCAGTACACCTGTCTTCTGGCATCAACCATCACAAGCACTTACATATTACAGCTTAGAAGGAATGTAAAAGAAAAAAAAGTACAAGAAAAATCCTTTGACAAAAAGTATTTGGAAATCAAATATCTTGATATATACAACTTCTTTCCAATGATATACCCCCAAAACACATATATTTGCATAGAGAAGGAAAGCTAAAAACAAATGTAGAAAACTTTTTAGCAAATGGTGAGTCTACATGAAAGACATACAAGGTTTACCATACAATTATCCCTAATTTTCTATAGATTGAAAAGTTTCAAAATAAAAGCCTGGGAGAGGACAGTTTATTAAGACCTTCCAATCAAGAGTTATAACAGTATCTGCTAAATAGGAGAGAATTAAATATGTTTTAAACCCTTCAACAACAAGACTAAAAGAGAACTACTAGATCTGTTTTTCCCTGGCAGTCACCTCCTGTAGCGTTTCTGAAGAGGCAGCAATCCAGGCCAGAGAAGGCTAGCTAGAAAAGACTAGGGGTAGGTGGCTTTCTAAAATAGAAGGAGGCTAAGGGCCTGGGAAGTCTGACACCAAGCTGATGGGTGGCATGAATTACACAAGCACGGTCTAATCAATGATTATAGTTAGGGTTAGGAATAACAAAGGAAAATTTGGGATTAATGAGAAACAACTATGTCATAATTTTACTTTAACAATATTCTAAATGATCATTAAATGTCCCCTTTCACATTTTCTAAAATCAATTATTTTAATAAAACATTACAAAATACCTGAAGGAATTACAAAATACCTGAAGGGATTAGCCAGAGAACATGTATCATAACCTATGGACACAGACAACAGTGTGGTGATGGTCAGAGACAAGGGGGAGTAGGGGCTGGGAGGAGGGAGGGAAAGGGTGTAAAATGGAAACATCTGCAACAGTGTCAGCAATAAAACTGAAGAAAAATATGTATTAGGAAATACAATGAAATTTTTAACTGCCTTGCTCCATGCTACAACATCAGTTAACTGAAAAACCAGAACATACTCATGTTTCCTGAACTTGGGATTCTTTTAAATATACCAAATCTCCCCTTTTCTCTAGATTCACAATACAATTTTATGTTTACATTCCATGAGACTGTATTTTTATGAAAGTTATGTTTATAATCACATGGGAGTCCACCATAACTCCCCATAAAGTCCTATCGCCGAAGGTGTCAGCAATAAGAAATCTTTCCCTACCGTGGCCCCCTGTGTTCAGAAGCCCAAAAACAACTTGGAAGTGGATGGAGACCATATCTTATCCATCCTGCTTCATCACACAGTAGACACTCAGCAAATGTTTGAAAAGAACATCTGCTGAATGTCTGATTCATGTGTTTGGTAGGTTGAGACTGACGTGAGGATCAGATTTAGAAAATAAAACCCTTTAAGGCTGCTCTATTTCTGTTTTAAGCTTCCTATTCTGAGAGAAGAAATCAAACAGTTTTTAAAAAAAGAATAGGAAAAGGAAAGAATGACAAAAAGTACAAAGGCGCATAAGAATATAGATACCAGCAAAACAGTACCTAGCCTATTCAGAGCACACAATTATGTCACGGAACACAAAAACCAAAAGGGGGTTATAATGCTGTTAAATACACAAAAGATAGCCTATGGAACATAGAAAGAACGCAGGGATGTTGTTACCAGAGCCCAAGTCCAAGGATACCTGGTGGAAAACACGGTTTGGCAGAAGCTAGCACTACAAAGGAGATACTGCCCAAGGCAGAGAGAGAAGAAAACACCCTAGCCTTTGCCCTCCTCCTACTTTCCAAACCTGTGCCAAGGCCTCCAACTGGCTGAACCCAGGCGGAAGCTAGATGGTGTGACAACCTGCAAAACGCCACCTACTATACTCACTCTCCTACTGGAATCACTTTCCCTTCAGATACAAAACACAACAGAGAAAGGGTAAGGAATAAAGTGAGGGCAACCAGGCATAAGACCAGCACAAACAGCAATACTCATGTGTTTCTATCTTGATTTACCCCTAACTTGTATCTCAGTAGGTATTGCTGTTTGTTTTCTTAATGTGAGCTGTCTCAAATCTGCTGTGGAGAAGCAGATACTCTAAGGATACACGTGTATACACAAAACGGGAACAAAACTGTAGCAAAATGCAAAACAACTAGTGAAAAGAAAACACAAATGTTTAATGTACTATCAGTCAAAAAATTTTCCTTCTTATTTTTCAAATTAAAATTGCTATTTTACCACCACTAACCTCTGCTTAATGGTACAAGAAAGAAAACTTGAAAGTCACCTTCTGATTATCAAAGTGAATTCCCACTGTAAAGCTTTATGCTTCCTTAAGAATGAGTTTATCTATCAGAGCAAAACAGCACTGTTAGTTAAAAGTGGCTTCAAAAACCTCATAAACTCTATAATTAAATGTACTTTTTAATAAAGCTACCTCCTCCCATTGAGTGCTGAATAAATTATGTTATTCAACAAATATTTTATTACCTCCCTACTTAAGTTTGCAAGGTACATTGTTTAGATCTCACAAGTGGATCAATATATGTTCCCATCAAACTTTAAATACAAATGAAATGCCTAGGAACAGATGCACTTCCTGAGGCCAGCACGGAGGCAAACTGAGGGAGTGGTGACAGTCGGCATGGTCAGCGCTGAGGCCACCCCTCCTCCCCAAGCCCCTTCCTCTCACTCAGGCCCAGAACACGTGGGAGAGCTACTCGTATCCTCCAGGGAATCTGACCAGCTCAGGAGGAAAAACTTGAACACACTGAGGTTTGAGATACCACAAAGAGAGGCACTGACGTTATAGTATAAAGAACTGGCCTTTATCATGGATTCCTGGGAGGTGGCCTCTAAGTACTTGGAATTTCCTGAGTGATAAGACTGTCTTTGTTATTCATCGTGGGCCCCTGGAACCACAGCTAATAGTTCATTTTTTAAAAAATAATATTCTATTGATTATGCTATTACCATTGTCCTGATTTTCCCCCTTTGGCCCCCTCCAGCCAGGCCCCCTTATCCCCTCAGGCAATCCCCCACCATTGTTCATGTCCACAGGCCATGCATGTAAGTTCTTTGACTATTCCATTTCCTATACTGTAGTCTACATCCCCTTGCCTACACACACCCGATAGTTTATATTAATTAGATGGCTCAGAGTGGACCCTAGTTTGCCCTGATGAGATGGTACAGGATGAGGACTATCCTGCACCATTTTCAGATACGCAAGGGCTCAAAACTTTGACTGCCCTTGTACCTTTCTGAGGAACCTACCAGAGACTCTGTTCCCCTAAGACGGGGTATATAATCAATAAAGAAAAACCCATGGGATTCTAGGAAAGAGGGGATCTAACACCAGAGAGGAAGAAGAAAAGGGAATGGGAAGGATGATGGTGAAATGAGGGGTCCTAGAACAATTCATACCTATTAAACTAAAGAGGAAACAGTCTGGAACAGAGCAGATCAAAAGACTTAAGAAAGACTTCTTCAAGATGAGAAAGTGATAAAATGCCTAATGTGTCTGAATATACTGCAGGAAATTGAAATAACTGTTGGGGTGCTGGCGTAGAAAACTAGATAAAGAAATAAAAATCAAGCTTATTGATTCTAAAAAGGAAAATAAAGTAGTAGAGGAAAGGAAAAGTGATATAACGTACTACATGGCTCAGTAATGAATACCAGTTACACAGCCATATTAATGCAAACACTGAACAGTTTTCTAACCAAAATTATGATGTGAAAATAACAGGACAAGAAGGACATGTGTGTATGAAAGCTGCCTGGAGCAGGGGGGATGCAATTCTGGGCAAGAAAGAAAGCTAAACCTCATCTCACATGGCGGGAAGTTAACAGATAACACCTATAATTGAAAAATCAAAGAAAAAGCTCAAAGAGCACGTTATTTAGAGGTTAGAGGTAATCACCAAAAAAATAATATTAAATAATTTAAAATGGTAGGCTCTGAAAAAAGAAAAATTTTAGAAGTGCTGGGGGCTGGAAGAACTTTTTATTATAAGAATCATAACACATTTTGATTCTTTAAATACATACATATATAACTTTAAAAAAACATTGAGTCCTGATTGTCACAGATCAGTGGGTTGGGCGTCATCTTACAAACCGGAAGGTTACTGGCTGATTCCTGGTGGGGGCACATGTCTGGGCTGCTGGCCAGGTCCCCAGTTAGGGGCATACGGGAGGAAACCAATGGATGTTTCTAACACAGTGATGTTTCTCTCTCTCTCTTTGCCCCCTCCCTTCCCTGCTCTAAAAATAAATAAATGAAATCTTTTAAAAAATAAATAAAAATAAAAAAACACAAATAGAGAACACAGAGTGTTCAAACTCCTCTCTCTCTTCCTTTTTTTAAGTCTTAAAAGCAAGAGACAACTGACATGCATAAAGGACTTAAAACAGATGGAAACTGGGAAGTGAAAGGAAGAATGGTAATAAGCAATACTGGAGTTACAGGCAAATGCTGTCTTGTAGGAATTAACAGATGATATACAACTGATGGTCCGTATTGAGATAATTGGGAAAATGTAAATATGAATTAAATATGATGATTATATTGTAATTATGTAGGAAAATATCATTTTTAAGATATAAATATGGAGTCCCAGCTAGTGTGGCTTGGTTGGGCACCATCCGGCAAACCAAAAGGTCCCTGGTTCGATTCCCAGTCAGGGCACATGCAGGGGTTGCAGGTTTGGTCCCTGATTGGGGTACGTACAGAAGGCAACCAAGCGACGTTTCCCTCTCTTTCTTCCCCCACTTCCCTCTTTAAAATTAAAATTAAAATAAAAAAAGATACATATGGAAATACCCAGCAATGAAATGTCATCACTATTTCTATAATTTAAATATTATTCAAAATTAGCCCTGGCTGGTGTAGCTCAGTGGACTGAGCACAGGCCTGCGAACCACATGATCTCGAACCACATGATCGCAGTTCGATTCCCAGTCAGGGCACATGCCTGGGTTGCAGGCCGGTTCCCTGCAGGCCAGTTCCCAGTAGGAGACGCACAAAAGGCAACCATACATTGATGTTTCTCCCCCTCTCTCCTTCCCTTCTCCTCTAAAGATAAATAAATAAAATCTTAAAAAAAATTAAACAAATATTGCAAAATGTTAGTAATTGTTAAACCAAAGTGATAGATATATGAATGCTTATTATATTTCTATTTTTCAGTACACTTGAACTTTCCATGATAAAAAGTCAAGAAAAAATGACTGTAAAGACCTGAGCATGAAGAGTTAGATTTCCATGACTATCTTTTTTTCTTTTCCCATGACTATCTTTAAAGGGGGGGTAGATCAAAAGAGGGGAAACTGGAAATATTCTACAGTCATCTTACCATATCCTGCCATTGAAGCTCCATTCTCGACATCCACTGTGTTCTTATTCTCCTCTGCTAGAGCTTTAACATACCTTTTACTTAAATCTAGTATTTGTTCACGCAACTTGACACTGCTTTGATGTCTTGGTTGTTGAAAAGTATAGTGGAGTAACATCAATCCCCAAATAAGTCCAAATATAAGCAACAGTAAACTCAACTTCTGGGACATATTTTTTCTTGAGATTGTAAAAATCATGTCTCATGGAGCAAGCAGACTCAGCCGAAAAGTAGTAACTAGAGGCAAGCCACCAGTCAGCCGCGACTTCTGAAGGGAAAAAGAGAAAATTTCCTCTTCCTCTGCTAATACGGTATATTCTTCATCTTCAGCAAGGTGGCCTCCAACTCTCAATTAACTCTAAAATAGAAAACAAAAAAGGCTATTAGTCAAAACCTATCTCAGTAACAGAATAGACAATGGTAGATATAAGAAGAGATTCTGTAAATAGTTTTAATTTGGAACTATATCAACTTCTTTGCCAACATTCTCCACCACTCAGCAAACTTTCACATATTTTATCAGTTTCATTTACACAGCTCTTCAAATTTTTAAATGGCAATAAATGTTAATTTTTGGAAAATATCTTTAACAAATGCCACCACAATCACAAAATTCTTTGAATGACTTCTTGTTATTTGTAACCCAAATTATGAATATAAGATTTATAGAAGATCTAGGTCTATTCACAGTCACCAATCTAAATGTCTAAAAGCTATTTTTCCTCCTCCACCTCCTTTTAAAAAAAGTAGATGTCAAAATGAAAGTTAGAAATGAGGAAAAGTAAAAGCAATTGAAAAATCAAAATGCCTAAAAAAATACATATAAATAAGTGTGCCAATATTTGAAAGTGTCACTAGAAAATATTACTAATGGCAATGAGATAATCTTAAGCATCCAACCTATTTTGAAACAGGTTATAATTTCTAAGTTTATACACCTAAGTTTATGCTAGACATAATGACGAGTGTCCAAATAGACTTGTGTTAAAACAGGTTATAAAATTGTTTTATATTTTCAAATTTATAATTCTAAATTTTAAATAATGCAGGTATGTATTTTTACAATTTAAGGAAACAATGAAAAGGTTATACTTCAGTTTTCTAAAAAAGAGAAAGGTGAGGACAAACATGGGGTGGAGAAAGACATGGAGAGTAATAATGTGTATGAATCACCAGAGTGTCCAGTGAAGAAAACTATTCAAGCAGTGGGGAAAGAATGAAGACAGTAAAGCAGTTCAAATACATGGTGACAGAAGGAAACCAGACTTTGGGTGGTAGGCATGTGATGCAATATACAGATGATGTGTTAGAGAATTGTACACTGCCAACTTACATAATGTTATTAACCAATGTTACCCCAATAACTTAATTTTAAAAAACAAGACTTCCTGTCAAGATGGAGACATAGGTAAACATGGCTTGCCTCCTCGCACAACCACAGCAAAAATTACAACTAAACTACAAAACAACTATCACCCAGAATCATCAGAAAATCAAGCTGTATCAAGTCGGAAAAAAAGGAATTAAAGAAGCCACATTCATCCAGACAGGCAGGAAGGGCAGAGACACAGAACGAATGGTCCTACACCCACACGGGGTAGATAAAAATCAGGAGGAATACCTCTGGAGCTAGGGATCCCAGTCCTATAGCAGACCCCAGAACCTAGGGTTCCAGTGCCAGGAAAATAAGTCCCCATAATTTCTCTCTGTAAAAACCAGAGGGTGGGCGGTGCGGTGCAGAAGGAAGGGCAGGATTCTCAGTCTCCTCTTCAAGGGCCTGCAATGGACTTAGGACTTATGCAGACTCACTCTCTCCGAGCTCCAGCACCAGGACAGCAGCTGGAGGGACACCAGTGGCATATGGGGAGAAACTGAAGTGTCTGGCATCGGGGTGAAAGCTGGGGAACAGCTTCCTCCCAGACAAAACTACAGAGGCCAGGCAGCGGCACTGTCCCCTTTCCGAGCCCTCCACACAGAGCCACAGAGCAGCAATACCATATCCAACACGCGGCCACCTGGTTCACACAGGTTGTGCCCCCTCAGATGATTACCTAAGGCTCCACCCCACCCAACTTCAAGTGCACTTTTCTATAACAGGCCATACTATTAAGACACAGAGTTAAAGCAGCTCTACCTAAGGGAAGGAAAAGGCCACTGCGCCCGCCTCTTTCATAGCAATACAATGACAAGAGAGAATTTCTGAGATGTCCTAGATAAATTACAGTAGGCCAAGGGTGGGAGGACATGACAAGGGAGGTTAACTAACTCACAGTGCTAAGTAACAGTGGGGGTACAGGGAGGGGAGGAAGGCTGCAAAACAACAAAAGAGCTCACATTCCTGGATCTCTGTGGAAACTCTGAATCAACTTCCAGACCGGCTATTTCAGTTCCCATCTCAAAGGAATACAGGACCACCAGCTGCTACCACATCCTGCTTCCTCAAGAACATTCCCTGACTCAGACTTTGCCCACAGCCAATCCAGAAGCATCAAATACTGCCTCCTTGAAGACTATCCCTGAACTTGCTCTGGTTCACTTCCCCCTCCCCAAATCTATCGCAAATGTAGTCTTCCAAAATGACTTACATCTTTTTCCTTCCACCCATTGTATAAAACAGCCCCATCAACGCCGGGCCAGTGCACATGTCTGTGTTCTCCATCTAGTCCTGCCTCTGGTGGTTGAGAGTGCACGTCCTGGGACCCCGTCCTTTTTCTGGCTAGCCTATGCCCTAATAACCCCTTTCTTTCAAGACAATGTTTGGTTGCAAAGGTTGCTGTTGAACAAAAACAACAGCAGAAACTGCAGTAGTGGACAATGACAGAGTTCTTATGTGCCTGATTCTGAAGTACACACTTCATAAGATATATCATTTAATATTTGCAGTGACCCCAAAAGAAAGTTGTTGTTATTCTCACTTTAAAGATAATCAAATTAAAGTTTAGGGAGGTTAACATGCCTAAGAATTTTATCCAGGCCAACAGACTTTATAGCCACACAGAAACTGCATTTCTTTAACATGACACTTTGTCCTTGCTATGCACCCACTCCCTTCCTTTATCAATCAGCCCTTAGGCTACCAGACTCTGGTCAGCACCAAACTGTCTTAAGAACAAATCAAAGCCCTGGGTCCACTGAACACAGAAACAGAGTTTGGTCAAGCTAAAGACAACACCTTGACTTCAGTTGTGTTTCAGCACTAGGCCCATGAAAGCAGAATGGCCCAATGGGTCACACCCTCCCAAAACCAGACAGGCCATGGCTGACAGCAAGATCTGACACAGCGAGCAACTCCTCCCCATCCCAGCCCCACCAATCAGTAGCACCCACAACCCCACTCCTTTAGCCACCATTATTAATGACTTTTCCCCTAATGACTTTTCCATCCCCTGGAAGCCATCAGGTCTTTCAGCGCTGGCTTGTCTGTGACTCCAGGCTTGGCACCATTTCCTTAACTAGTAAACCTCTACTTTTGCTGCTGTGAACTCCTGTTTGCATTTGACTGGGCTCTGATGCACAAAGGTAAACAGTCTGGATCCCTTTTAGTCTGGTAACAACTTCATGCCTGAACTTTGGCAAGAGCCACAGTCCACAAGTTCGGACTATTTACCTACACTCAGGGTCTCTCCCTTGCTTTAAAAAGGGTCCCTAAACCCAGCCCTATTTGAACTCATAGGTTGTACAAAACTCCACAGAAGTGACAAATCCCAAGGCTGTAATGGCAACAGAGAACAGGAGGTTCATGAAGCCATAAGGGATGGGTGAGTGGACGGAAATAGTTAAACATAGTGAGCCTAATCTATAAAATGTAAAGTCCTCCCAAGTACAAGCTTAAGAATGAAAGCTGCTCACCACCACAAACATTGCTTAAAGGGTGAGTGACAGTACTAACACCAGACACAGAATAAAAACAGACTAGTAGTGAACCAGGAGGAAACACAGCTGAGGAAGATACACCCCCAAAGTAATAAATCCCAGGGAACAAAGAGACCTAGTTTAAACCCAGTGTTTCCCAAAGATCTAAGCTGCAAAGATTAAATAAAGAGCCTTCACTGCTCTACACTGACTGTACAGTACCTGACTATACCATCAGATTCAGAAAGAGGCTTCTTGAAAGGACTTCATGGCCTTGACTCTACATGGAATGTGTCCGCCTACCACTGCCCTAAGGCAGCCCGCTTCAGAGAAAAGTCAGAGACTTTTACAGGGACTAACTACTACAGTAAAAAATGTATATGCTTTGTGTTTATATGTTCTTCTATTGTGATAAGTAAAGCATTTTGGTAAGATTTTTATTTATTTATTTTTACAGAGAGGGCAAGAGAGGGAGAAAAAGAGGGAGAAAGGCATCGATGTGTGAGTGAGAGAGAAGCAGCGATCTGTTCCCTCCTGCATCCTGCACGTCCCCCCCCTGAGGACCCGGTCCCCAACCCAGGCACGTGCCCTGACCAGGAATCAAACTGGTGACCTTTCAGTTCATAGACCGGGGCTCAATCCAGTGAGCCATACCAGCCAGGGAAGGAGTAAAACGTTTAGTAAGAAAAAGGTCTGTCCTTAGGAACAGGAAAGAGGTGAGAAATTGGGAGTAGTTAATACCACTCTACACTAGGAAATTACAAAAGGACACCAAAGAATACAGAGGGCAGGGCGCTACTAAGAAGAAGTGCACCCTGGAGCCTTCTCCAAACTGAAAAGGTCGCCAGGAGCCAGCTGAGGTCCCACAGAAGTCTGAGTAGGACTAAGGCCCATGAGGAGTATAACCAAGGGTTCATTTAAATGAGCATATTCCAAGCAAGCTCAGCAGAGATGACTAAGATTCCTGCAAAGATACCATTCAGCCTTTGGTCTCATCTGAGGGAATCCTTCACTTTGAAATCACCTAGAAAGTTTTTTGAAAAATCCCAGTGCCGGGTCACACACCATATCAATTAAGTTAGAATGCCCGGAGGTGGGAGTCAGGCATCAGTACTTTTTAAAGAGCCTACATTATCCCAAAGTTATTCCCAAACTGTGCAGCAAAGTTTGGGAACCACTGTTTAAATCTCAAAGTTCTTCATGAAGCAGCAATGACAGCTACAGGTAGGGCCACTAAAGTCAAAGTTATAAGTCTATTCATAAGGTATGCCATAAGATTCCTACTTGGACCTACCTATGATGACCTTGAAGGGGGAGGGATAAGGGGAAGAGAAAACAGGTGACCTATGCTGGAACCCAAGTCACTCCTGCCCAGGTGAGCGGCAGGGATGGAGGTGGAGTGAAGAGAAAGCACCATCCACTGGTACCGCTTTAGTCCCTCGGGTGGATATGAATACACTGTACTATTCTTGGAGAAGAATTTCCGTGATTTCATATAGGAAAAAA